CGTTGGAAAGAGGACGAAGATAATCCATGACGAATTACAGAGCTTAGCTGTTTTTTATTTGCTTCTCTCGGACTTTTGTACTTGCTAGTATATGCGCGTCGCTTGTTTTGGCGAAGCTTCGCGATAACCCCAGGATTTTACTATACCGGATTAGGTAATATTACCGAGCTCTTCTAACTAGTTAGATGTTGGATAAGGATATCTCAACGTTGTCTTCATAGGCAAAGGGGTATGGTCTGATAGCGGAAACATATTATTATCTCTACAGAATGATATTGTACAGAGCAGGGGACTCAGATAGCAATCAACGCCCATGGGTATAAACGCCAATTATTTGGACATGATGGCCGACATCCACTTTTGCTCATCGTTTCTATGTTTGTTAGTGACCATTGTAAAGAGAAGGTTCAGTTAAAAACTCACCGATCGAAATGGAGCAGCATTCCTAGAACAGGGATTAGCTGCTTCTGATAGTTCTTGTCCCTCTGTTCCAAAAATTGGAGAAGGACATTCTTCAAGTACATGTAGTCAATAGATGCATTACTGGGTGGTCCAAGAGGAGTCTCGCTTCTGCCAGGAGATACGACGGCCCGACGAGAGCCTGAATCCGTAGATGATCGCGAGGATGGTCGACCGGACGGGGAGCCACGTAGGCGGACGTCCTCTCCTAGCGTCTTGTGGGATCTTCGGAGCTTCTCCAGTCGGCTGTTTGTCTCTTCCACTGAACGACGAAGCTCTGCCTTGTCCTTTTCGAGGTCGCGAACTTGCTTCTCACTTTCGTCGAGAGCATCGCGTAGACCGGCCATGGCCTGTCGAATCTCTGCCACTTCCTGTGATGACTTCTCAGATACTGACTCGAGCTCGTCACGACGGCGGCGCCAGTCCTTTTGGGATTGTTCAAGCTCCTCCTTGTCCTGTTCCACCGTGCGCAGGGCGCGCTCGGCTTCACGGACCTTAGCCTTGAGTTCTTCCATCTCGCGAGCACGGCGTCGACCTTGGGTGCTGGCTTCATCTTCGGCACGGTCTCGCTCTTCGACAGCAGCCTCCATGCGTTCCTTGAAGTCTCGCACCTTAGCCTCTGAACGACCCTCGATATCATTGAGCAGACGGCGCATGGTCTCGCCTTCGCGGGTTCGTTCGCTCAGCAGACGGTGGGCGTCGGCCAATTCTTCATCCAAGCTCTCGCATCGCTCACGAGCCTCCTTCATTTGCATTGCAACTTCCGTCGTCTGATCACGCATACTGTTCATCAAGCTCTGGGCACTAGTGTACTGAGCTGTCTTTAGCTGGATCTCTTCTCGGAGGCTTCCGAGCTCCTTATTCAGCTGAGATATATGTTCATCCATCTCCCGCATCTTGGCGCGAGTATTCTTCAAACCGTCCTGGGTCTTGGAGAGTTCGGCAGCAGTTCTGTCTCTGGCATTGATGGCATCTTGCTTTTTGCCCTCAGCAGAGCGTAGATTGGATTGGACAACAGTAAGATACTCCTCCGCCTTCAATCGGCTGTCGGTCTCCTGTCGGATCTTCTTAGTGAGGGTGCCCACTTCTGCGTCACGCTCTGAGATTCTCGACTTAAATGTCTTCAGCTCAGCGCACAGATCCTCATGCTTGCCTTCGAGGACCTTCAGGTCGGAATTCTTGCTGGCGAGGGTCTCCTTTAGGGTCTTCAACTCCGAAGACTCAGCACGTAGGCTGCGCAGCTCGGGCTGAACCTTCTGAAGAGTTTCACGGAGGTCTGTAAGGTCTTTGAACCGAGTAGCAGCCAGCTGCTGAGCGGCAGAAAGATCGGTCTCCAAGGTAACAGAGCGGACCTTGAGGTTATCGAATTCCTCTTTGAGTGAAGTATGCACCTTCGCCGAATCAGCTGAGGTCGAAGCGTTGCTGGTGCGGAGTTCCGCCAATTCTTTCTCGAGCTTGCTGATGGTTTCTTGAAGAGAGGTCCTTTCTTCTGAAAGATCCTTGATCTTGTCCTTCGCTGCCACATGCCCCTGGCCGATATTGATAAGGTCATCGCGCAGGGACTCAATTTCTTCCTTCAGATTGTCCTCGCTTTTTAGCTTGGAACTGAGACGGTCGATAGCGGCCTCCTTTTCGGATAATTGCAGGGTGAGAGATTCGATCTTTTGCTTGAGTTCATCCAGCTCTTTGGTAGCTGTGGAAGGCGCCTCTGGGGGCGGTTGCTCTGCAGGGGCTGCATCAGTCGACTTAGAAGGTTCATCTGCTTTACCACCCTTCTTCTTCTTCTTATTGTTCTTCTTCTTTCCTCCACTGCTGCCACCACCAGTAGCTTGAGCAGGTTGTGTCTCTCCTTCGGTAGTGACAGGAGCAGAGACAGGAGCAAAGACAGTAGAATTGGGCTCTTCCTTGACCGGCACCAGGGTCTTGATAACCTCATTGAAGTCGGCCAACTCTCCAACGAAAACCTTCTCCTTGGTAGATACCCACGCCTTGTTCTCTTTCAAGTTCTCATCCACAAGATCAAAAATGTCTTGTAGTTTGGCAGAATGTTCGCACCTCTCGTCGATCTCAGTCTTCAATTGTAACACGGTAGATTCGGTATCTTTAAGCTGAGATCGGAGACTGTCAACTAAGCCCTGGAGCACAACGAGCTTTTTCTCGTCGGATTTCTTTTCCTCTTTGGTCGTCTCCAACTCAGCAGCGAGGGTCGAATCAGACTCAGTTCTTTCGGAGGCTTGTTTCTGGAGCTTGTCGATTTCCTCGCTCTTCTCCTTGAGCTGCGACTTGAACTTCTCGACCTCCAATGTGGTTGATTTGAGAGAGGATTCCGCAGTTGCTAGCTTCGCCTTGAGGTCATCGACATCGGCCTTCTTAGAGGTTTGTAGAGTCTTGATCTCAGCATCTAGATTGTCCTTGGTTTCCCGCAGCTCGACGAGCTCGCGGGTGGCTGTCTCCAAATTCTGCACCATACCTTCGGTCGACTCGCGGGTGACAGACATATCGCGCTTGAGCTTTTCGACCTCGGTTTTGAGGTTCTCAACCTCTTCTTTCTTCTCCTTAAGTTCGCCTTCCAATCGGGGAACTTCATTATCAAACGAAAAGAACTCTTCACTAGCTTGTTCCCGTGTTCCGTCTGTCCCTATGGGTGTCTCCGTCTGGGGTTTCTCCTTTTTGAGGCCAGTAAGCTCATCCAAAGCCTCCTTGGTAGCCTGCTGCGCTTCTTCAAACTTCTTCCTGAAGTCTTCTCTTTCTTCGGTGACGCGCTTCAGCTCATCCATGACCATATCGCTTTTCAGGGTTGATTGGTTGAGGTATTCCGTGAAAGCTTTGGGTTCGCCAATCGAGGTGAGGGGGGTGTTCTCGCGCAAAGCAGCTTCGAAGGGTTCAATGGATAGGACTCGCGAGTGGGCGGTACGGTAAGCCTTGAGCAATTCTAATACGTTCAGTTAGTCGTGTGCCCTGTAGTCTAGTCAGGCAGATACATACCATGGTATCGGGACTCCAGCTTATCAAGTCGCCGCAATTTCGCGCGAACATCAGGTGGAAGCACAGCAGGTGCCTCCTTGGTCTCCGTCTCTCCTGTCTCTTTCTCGGGCGTCTCCGCCGGTTTGCCTTCGGCCATTTGGCTCTCTCCCTCGTTAGGGGCGCTTACTTCCGAAGCAGGCTCTGGTGTATCTGCTCGGGGAGTACCGGACCTGATGGATTCATCGTCACCGATGGTGAATTCAGCTTCGAACTCCTTGGGGTCGGGCCCTCGAACGGGGGTACCGGTGTTGCGTCTAGGACGGGCGCGCCGACTCGGGGACTGGTTACGTCCGGGCGGACGGCGAGCGGAATTGGAGCGTTCGATGTTATCTTGGGCGGACTTTTGACGTGCTTGTTCCTCTGCAATGCGAGAGTCGATGGCGTCGCGGAGGCGCTGTGACGGTGTTAGTGAGAACACAAGGCGCACACATCATCGAAAGGGCGAATAGGTACCTGAAACATTGCCGCGGTTCTGAGAACCCAGACGACAACAGAATCTAGAAACGCAAGACCACTGGCAAGGGTGTTTACCAAAAACAAGAAGAATAGCAATCCGCAAAAGGAAGTGAGGGGGAGCATTGGTTTCCAAGGTTGGAAGCGTAGCCAAGGCGGAAACTTGCCATGTGGAAGGTCAACTTGGGCTGTCTTTACTTTTTTTGCCATGTTGGAGACTTGAATTCATGAAGATTAGTATATTTTTTTATTAATCTATGTATTTTTATTCGCAGTCGAACTAAGCCCAATGCTTTTTATTTAGCTTGTTCTTATTTCTAGTTGTATCGGGGGTTTGAGACTGTAACGTTGCATATATATTTGCTGTACAGCTTGCGTGAAAGGGCTATGTAGAACACACCAATGGGATCTACAACTTCTCTAATTTATACATCCAAAGTAAATCTTTATGTTTCAGATCTGCTCGCATTCCAAGTATCAACATATATCAAATTGAAGTTGTGTTGTTACCTGCGTGTGTAAGGCCTGATGTTGTAAACAATTACATCACTGTGGATTGGCCTGTTATAACCGGGATATTTTGGAATCATAGGATCATAGGATCATAAAATAATAACATTAGAATATTAATTGGAACAGAATAGGCTAACAGAATATTATCATGAGTTGAAATCATAAACTGATACAAATGCGAATCTCACATTCCGCCTTTAAACGTAAAGCAGGTGACTTGGGAACTAGGAACCTCCCTCTCCCCTCCCATCCATATCCCACCTACCACTTCACTCCGTATAAAGTACGATGCTTCCAATCTTCTGGCCTAATGGGCCCACGGTTGGGTTCAACTCCGAATTGGTCTAGGTCAATCTGAGTTAGTCTCGACCTCAAACCTGCCCAGGTGGAACACAAAGCGGAGCTCTCCAATCTTGCATGTGTTTAACATGGCTGGCCTGGCCCCGTCCCTCGCCCTCAGCCTAACGGCTGCAACTTCAACCTCAATTAATTCCCTCGCTTCTAGCGCCTATTTCTCTCAACCCCCGCAGTCCCCTCCAGCTCCCTTAACCATGATGGGGTGGATCGGATGGGTGTTTACCCTAGTATTTCACACCCTCCCAAGCCTTCTCTACTCGATAATCACATTCGCGACAATTACACTCCCCACATGGCTCTTTACGCTTTTCTCTATGAGCTTGACGTTCACTATGAATTTCACCACCATGTAGGTCTTGGTCTTGCTAACTTCATTCTTGACCGTTGCTGACCATTCATGACCCTTAGAATGTTAATCTTCCTTGCCATTGTATCGACCCTCAGCTGGTTCATCCGTTACCGGTACCTGAACACGTACAGTCGCCTGCCCCCGGAGCCTCAACGCAAAGAAGCCCAGGTCGATTTGTTCCCTGATATCCAGGAAGGGGACTCGAAACCAGGACTTGCCAACTATCTGGATGAATTCCTCAGTGCTATCAAAGTCTTTGGGTACCTTGAACGGCCCGTGTTCCACGAACTTACCCGGACGATGCAAACTAGGAAGCTGATTGCGGGAGAGACGCTCATGCTGGAGGAGGAGAAGGGCTTCTGCATGGTTGTGGATGGGCTGGTCCAGATCTTCGTGAAATCAGCACGCGAAGGGAAGTCAGGTTCGCGAGAGAATATCTATATGGACGATGATGCCTCTTCAGACGAGGAGGACCGGAACATTCACAACCGACAGGGCTATCAGCTCCTCACTGAAGTCAAGAACGGCGCTTCAATGTCGTCTTTATTCTCTATTCTCCAGCTGTTTACCGAAGACATTGAGCTTCGTAACTCCCGAAGTCACAGCTCCAGTATATCCAGTCCTAGCCTTGGCCAGACTCATGTGCCTGATACCTTTGCTGTCAGTCCCGGGTCCACCGTGAGAGAGGCCGGGAATTTGAACACTGCATCCCTTGGATCTGGCAATATATTGCCACCAGTGCCTCCGCTGAATCTCGGAGAGAGCCATACCATGCCCCGGCAGAACCACAGACATTCCCCACATTCGGAGACTAAACACAATGCCCAGAAAAAAAGCCGCAAGTCGGTACACCCAGATATTGTGGCACGAGCTACAGTAGACACGACGATTGCTATCATCCCTGCCAGCGCATTCCGCCGCCTGACCAGAGTCTACCCACGGGCAACGTCACACATTGTCCAGGTTATCCTGACACGTCTCCAGCGGGTAACGTTTGCTACAGCGCATTCTTATCTGGGCCTGACTAGCGAGGTTTTAGGCATAGAGCGGCAAATGTCTAAATTCACCTCTTGGGACCTTCCGAATAATCTTCGAGGGAGTGCCTTGGATCGTCTGAAGGACAAGTTCACACGAGAGCGAGATCGATTGGGACCAGAGGAAATCGGAAAAGGCATTGCTCTTCACAATCCTTCTGTGGGCCGTAGAGGACGCTCGAGCAGTACTCTCAGAAAAGAAGCCTTTTTACAAGCAAAGGTGTCAAGTGAGCGTCCCCTCACACTCCATAGCCAACAAAGGTCGTCACCATTCATTGACAGGGACTCGGCAAGTGTTAGCCCCGGTGATTTGCTATCGACAATACAATTGTCCCGGTTTGGACCGCGACATGAAAATTTGGCACCTCGCCTCCAGACTCCTCTTACTGAGCGGGAGCAACCTCAATTTGTATCCACAGCTGCAATGAATGGTCTACCCTCGACTTTCCAGCTAAAAGAGTCAGTTGACGAGGACGCTATTTTCCGCGAGTCGATCCTGGACTGTATCATGAAGGGCATTGGGCTCACCGAAGGCACACGCGATGCTCTGCGCAAGAGCAGCCACTCTGGTGATGCGTCGCCGAGACTACTCTCCTACGATAACCGCCGCCAGAAGGCTGTGTTCTCCAATGCCTTTGGCTTCATCGATCCCTATGAAGCGTCAGGTGACGGCGAAACTGAATCCATGATGTCCTCCATGTCAGTGACAAGTGCAGGGGGGACTTCGCCTGTCATCAACCTACGGGAAGACCTCCGACATGACATTGAAGTAGTTTACTTTCCCCAAGGCTCGGTTTTAGTGGAAAAGGGTGAGCGCCATCCAGGTCTCTACTACGTCATTGACGGATTCTTGGACGTGGGTATTCCGGCGAATGAACATAATGACACCCTTATTGGGGCCTCTCATGTATCTGGCTCGCAAGCGCAAGAGGAGCTGTTCCCGAAGCTGAGACGAACAACGACATCATCGTCGCGCGCTGGTGCAGCGGGCAGCAATGACCCTCGACGAAAGACTCAGTCCCGCAAATCACTATACCTGATCAAACCTGGTGGCATTCAAGGGTATGTAGGTGCTCTTGCATCGTACCGCTCGTACACCGATGTTGTCGCCAAGACAGATGTTTACGTTGGATTCCTTCCCCGTGCTTCCCTTGAGAGAATCGCAGATAGACATCCAACTGCTCTGTTAACGCTAGCAAAGCGGTTGACAATTCTGCTGCCCCGTTTGCTGCTCCACATTGATTTCGCGCTGGAGTGGGTGCAGGTCAGCGCAGGGCAGGTGATTTACCACCAAGGGGATGAAAGCGATGCTATTTATCTTGTTCTGAACGGTCGCCTGAGGTCTGTCCTTGAGGGATCAAACGGCAAGATAACCGTCATTGGTGAACACGGCCAGGGCGAGAGTGTTGGCGAACTCGAGGTCATGACTGAATCTACAAGACCGTCTACCTTGCATGCTATCCGGGAAACGGAACTAGCCAAGTTCCCCCGGTCTCTTTTCAACAGTCTCGCTCAGGAACATCCTGGAATTACCATGCAGGTCTCTAAACTTATTGCCCAGCGAATGCGTGATTTAGTCGAGCATCCGCTGGCCGAAAAGAAGATTGAACAGGGACAGACTGGCAGTGTTCAGACTGCAACCTCAACAGTCAATCTTCGCACCGTGGCAATTCTTCCCATCATTTCTGGCGTCCCGGTCGTAGAATTTGGACATAGACTCTTGCAGGCGTTGCACCAAATTGGTGTGCCCAGAGGTGTCACATCACTCAACCAAGCGACAATTTTGAACCACTTGGGTCGCCACGCCTTCACTAAGATGGGGAAGCTTAAGCTTTCTCAATACCTGGCTGACCTCGAAGAGAAATTCGGAATGGTCTTGTACATCGCTGACACCAATGTGAACGCACCGTGGACTCAGACTTGCATTGCGCAAGCTGACTCTATCCTGTTGGTGGGCCTCGCCGAGTCTTCACCTAGAATTGGTGAATATGAGCGCTTCCTGCTAGGCATGAAGACCACTGCTCGCAAAGAACTAGTTCTTTTGCACGCAGAGCGTTACTGTGCACCTGGACTGACTCGGGAATGGCTGAAGAACCGGGTGTGGATTAACGGCGGCCATCACCACATTCAAATGGGCTTTCGCTCGACCACCGAGCCTTCACACCCGCCGACTAGGAAGTTCGGTACTGTGCTGAAGCAGCGCGTGCAAATTTTGCAAGCCGAAATCCAAAAGTATACGTCCCGGCGTGCACAACAGTCTCCACTCTATTCCCCGCAAACCTCCTTCAAGGGTGATTTCCATCGGCTGGCTCGGCGTTTATGCGGCAAGTCTGTGGGTCTTGTACTGGGCGGAGGTGGAGCGCGTGGCATTGCGCATGTTGGAGTTATTAAAGCCCTCGAGGAGGCCGGGATCCCAATTGATATGATAGGTGGCACGTCGATTGGTTCTTTCATTGGTGCTCTTTACGCGCGTGACGCTGATGTTGTTCCCATGTACGGGCGAGCTAAGAAGTTCTCCGGGCGCATGGGGAGTATGTGGCGGTTTGCATTGGATTTGACCTATCCCACTGTTTCCTACACCACAGGTCATGAGTTCAACCGGGGAATCTTCAAGACATTTGGAGATAGCCAAATCGAAGATTTCTGGTTGGAGTTCTACTGCAACACAACCAACATCAGCCGATCCCGAATTGAGTATCACTCGTCTGGTTACGTCTGGCGGTACGTTCGGGCTTCGATGACATTGGCCGGCCTGATACCTCCTATCTGTGATGAAGGCAGTATGCTCCTGGATGGTGGCTACATCGACAATCTCACAGTGGCGCACATGAAAAGTCTTGGAGCGGATGCTATCTTCGCAATTGATGTTGGATCTATCGATGACACCACACCCCAGGGATTCGGAGACTCATTGTCAGGATTCTGGTCAGTGTTCAACCGGTGGAATCCCTTCTCCTCGCTCCCGAACCCACCTACACTTTCCGAAATACAAGCACGACTGGCGTATGTCTCATCGTTCGACAATCTCGAGCGCGCAAAGAATACGACTGGCTGTCTATACATGCGTCCTCCTGTCGACCCATATGGTACCCTAGAGTTCGGCAAATTTGACGAGATCTACCAAGTCGGCTATGCATATGGAAAGGAGTTCCTCGACCGCTTGAGGAGCGAGGGCTCACTGCCTATCACGGAGGAAACCGAGGAAAAGCGCAAGTTGCAGCGGACGATGGCTCCTCGCCGAGCTAGTATCTAACCGTCCCAACATTTATCCTTCAACCAAGCTCTGCGTGATATGTCGAGTCCAATTAAGCAAAGACTTGACTTTTTTTGTAAATAGTCAGACAATAAAATAGAAATACAGCTTTGCTGGCAGTCATATGACATTTACTTCCAATATTTTTACTTCAGTTATGCGAATCAGGCCATTATTGTTTAACCTTTATGTTTTCCCTTCGGCTAGAACATAATGAAAAACCTGAAATGGGAGAGGCCTCTTCAGTATGTCGTGTAATGTTGATTAAGAAAAGGAAAAGGTATCACCATATCGGACACCCGAAGGTTTCGGTCACAGTATAAGTAATGAATGGATTAAGTTATTGGGAGAGAGCACACTGCAAGGTCGTATCCCGAGCCTGCGATACTGTCCATCAGATATCAATTTCACCCTCCCATCCCCGCTCATAGAAACATATGTTCAATTTGGCCCCTGCCAAAATCCAAGTCCACCGAGATAAAACCAAAAGAGAAGGCTAATGGAAGAATCAAAGAGTCCAGATATAAGGTATTATGCACAAGGTGGTTTCCTGAACATCCCAGTAAATGATATATCCACAATGATTGAGAACGTCAACAAGAGATAGTAGATGCATATTTATCCAGAGAAGTAGTTGAAACACCGGTTAGACAGTTCCAGCAGGAACTGCAGGAACTGTAGGCGCATCAAGAGGTGGACGGGTCTCAATATGGACTTTATCCTCATAACTGCGTTCGGTGGTGTTTTCCTTGCGATAGGCCCATAGAGCGGCGGTTTCAAGGAAGATTCCAAAGAAGGTGAAGATACTGCGATATATTAGTTTTCACCTATCCATAGCGGCTGGGGGCATTCAGGCCATACAAAGCTAGGAAGATGAAAGCTTCATTGGCTCTCTTGCTATTGCAGTTGAGACCCGCGGGAATAGCATAGTAGCACCGTCTCGTACTGTAGTCTTGTGCGGAGAAGATAAAGGCAGTCAACCAGCTGGAATGGATATTAGAGACTTCGATGCAGACACTATGATCGAATGCTGACATACAGATAGGAGAATACCACGTCGATAGCGAGCACGAATCTGCTCAACGAGGGTAGGAATGGCGAGATAAAAGCCAAGAGGAAGAAGACGACTGAGAGGACAGCCTAAGCTTGCAGTTAGATTCCATGGCTTTGTGAAAACTGTTTGATCAAATAGAGCGCTAATAACGTACAATGACTTCTTGGTAGATAGTATGCTGACCACGGGGACCGCGATTGATGAAGAACGAGGTCAGGCCCATGACAATGACAGCGCTACTCCACTGCATGGCGCGAGTAGCCAGTTGCAGTGGACGAGCGATGTTCGTTGAGAAGACCATCGTTTATATAAGGACCAAGAAGTATATAAAACGTGAAAGGGGGCGCGATACAGCGAGGGGGGAAAAGAGTTGGCCTCCATGGCAAATGAGCAAAGAGAAGGACTTTATATCTCGGAATTAGCATGAACGAAGGCAAACAAACAAGACTGACGCTAGGTATAAAATGCAATAAGACCCACCACAGTCCATGGCCAGTGTCAGCAAGGACGAAAAGCAAAAACTCTCTAGGTGCGTCATGATGGCATCTGGATGAAGTCACTATGTCTGGCCCATATCCTAATCTGGAATGGTTTCTGCTGCAGGTTATCGGAAGAGGTAGTTGAAAATTTGTTTACCTTTTCATTTGTGTAGCTATTCGAACTATATCGTGCAGTAAGTTCATTTTAGTTCTATTTTATACGACGTCGATATCTAGGTCATGTGGTAATGGCAATGTCATGTTCTCGTACGCAAAGACATAAGTGAGGTCGATTTAGAGGTTTACATAAAGAAGGCGACTTCGAGAATAACGTCAAATAAACAAAAGCCCAGTCGGCAGTTTGCGGAGGATAATCCAACGTCTGCCTAAGCTTGTGGTGTTGTACTTATCAAGTGCCAATCAGAGCGAGAAAGAGTGAATGGCACCGCCGGTGCATAACCATCGAGACATGAGAAAAACAAGACTATAATATGCAGCTTCAATAGTTGACTACCGGGGTCTCCCTGCATAAGCCATGATCGACAGTCCTCTAGACCAGCTAACTTAAACATGGCTCATTGATAAATGCAAGGAGCGTGTCTCACCTGGGGAATGAATACGTTCGCCGGGTCCCTTGCCATCGAGATGCATAGATAGCCTATACTTATCACCTCTACTACCCCATGCTCTGGCAAGACCGGCTCTATTAACATAGTTAAAGTAACCATACAGAGGGCTGAACATGTCATATTTCGCTTACTACCGCCGGACTCTGCAATAAAATCTTTGAAGTATCAGATAAACATGTCCTAATATACCACGCCGGATAAGTAGAACCATTCGACTCCAGTGCGCCCAGACAGGCGTTCTTAGAACGCGCTTTTTAAACCTCACCATGTAGCATTGCCGAGTTCATGCTCCTTGATGTATTCGCTGCCCTTCTCCAAGTACTCTTGCCGCGTGACCGAGGATCGGCCTAGGTCACCACCAGAAGCCCACTGTGCTGCGCCCTTCCAAGCATCGAAGACAGGGTCCGATGCCTTGCGTACATTCAGTGTAGCTTCGATGGGCAGGAACCCGCGGACTTCCTTACGGAAGCGTTCATCGAAACCGGTAAACAACGTATTTCCTCCAGTCAAAAACACATCCTTCAAAAGAAGGGACTGGTCTGCGGGATTGGAATATCGTTGGTTAATAATATCGGCCGCAATCTCGATCAGTCCGGCTTGGTCGAGGCCAGCAATGGACGGCTTAAACACAACCTCAGGCACACGGATGCGCTCCACGTTCAGATGGAGCTGGTGTGCCTCCCGCTGGCTTTCCGGATCGAAAGGCCAGGGCCCGCGAAGGAACGCGTGCACAAGACTCTTCGTCCAGTCGGACTGTGCGGCGAAAGTGTTGTTCTCGGTGAATTCGGGGTCGTACTCCAGAAGCTCCTTCTCTACAGAGTTGAGCATACCGTTGAGATCCTCCTCCTCTTCATCGTCACTACCCTCGCCAACAGCTACGGTGCGGTAAACACCCCAGTCCTCATCATTGGCACCGAAGTCATCGTCATCCCCACCACGACGGCGTTTCTTAGGACCGTCAGATGCCAGGTTAGCCAACGTCTTCATACGCATCTGACTGGCCAGAGATTTGCGATTTCCGAGATCGGCCGTGAAACGGTCACGGTCTTTGATTCTTTGGAGAATGCCCTGAGAAATATTAGCACGGAAATCGAGGATATCATGTTTGGCCAAGATACCTGGCGATTGTTGCGACGCTTTGCAATCCAGTTCTCGAAATCATTCTCACGCGTCTCACGGTCTAGACGCTCCTCTGCCTCAATACGAGCCTTTTCGCGCTCCTTCTCTTCTTTGGCACGTAGTCTGGCATCGACGTTAGATTTCATGAGACGTTGGTGTCGCTTTTCCTTCAATCCGGCCTCATCCAATTGGTCATCTGGGATATCGAGCATAGGGAATGTCATTTCCTCCGGCTGCTCCTCAGTTTCTTCAATGCCCAGATCCTTGTTGCGCGAGCGTTTGATAGATTTCTCTAGCTCGCGAATCAACTTTTCAAGTGCCGCCTCGTCTTTCAAATCCTCGGCTTCAAGGATACGACGGATTTCCTTCTTGGTCTCGTTAGCTAGGGTCTCTTGCAGATCTTTCCAGTACTCCAGCTCTTGCTCCTTCTTCACTAGTTTCTCAAGCCGCATTCTTGCCGCCTGTTCTTGCAAGCGACGGCCACTCTCTTTCTTGCGCTCCGCAATCCGCGCGAGCTCTTCTTCTGTCTTCTCTTGAATAATGTGTTCCGTGAACGGGTACTGAATGACGCGGTCGCGGTCCTCGAGCCCGGTCCAGTCAAGGAACCCACTCAGCTCGCGCTCGTAGTCTTGTGAGACGTAACAGTGCTCATGAACCATTTCCTCCATCTGTGCGTCTGTCAAACGAGTCGGGAAGGTCGGGTATTTCAGTTTCATGAGCTTCATCAGGTATTCGGCGCTCTGCAGGCCACCCCAGTTGAGACGAGTGCAGTTGGAGAGCATGGGTTTCGAGTTCATAACCGGAATCACATGAGTAGAGGTATGCGATGAATCCACAATCAAACCATCCGTTCCACCATTATAGCGATAGGAGAAGAGGGAATCGATACCGTAGGCCACCGATGGCGCGGAGTAGCATTCGAAGAGGATCTCATTCATCACTGGAGGTGTGTCAACAACAGCCATACTGGCCCTAAAACCGCCCGATACTAACTCTTTCTTGAATATGGCATATTGGCGATTGGCTCCGTCATCAAGATCGGGCGACCGACGCCCCCATCTGCGCCGTCCACGCCCAGCTTGAGGAACAAATAGTCCAACACGCCTTCCATGACATCCCAGTTACCGACAACACTGGAGCCCGGGTCAAAGCCATTGCGCAGCTGTCCCCTCGTGGTCGCATCGACGTAGGCATCGTATCCGATAAATTGGCACTGGCGATTGAGCTTGCGATCACGGTATCGGCTCATAACGGGAGGTATAGCGAATCGGGGGTTTTTGTCAAAAGACCAACCGGCCTTGACGAGGTGGGAGCCTGCGCACCACATCTGTTAGGAGAATTGAATCACAAACTCTAGTTATGGAATCCCTTACCATTGTCAATGACAATAGCACTGGTGTCGGGATGGGCTTTGCTCTGCTGGTATCCCTCGGGTTGCGGAGGGTGGTAGCCCTTGAATGGAAAGTCTTGTACAGTGTAAAGTTTTGGAGGAGGCTTCTCGGTTCGTTTTTCACTCGCATTGGATGCAATGCGAGCTGGTAGGAGGGTGTGCACAGAGGTAATCGTCATGGCGGGCTGCGCTCCAGAAACCAGGAGCTATTGGGGTCGGAGATCTGTAGATGGCGAAGAGGGCTCACTGCATGGGAATAAGTTTGGATATGAGGAAACCAATGAACCGCAGAAAGGGTAGCGGATTAACAAAGAGGACACACACGCGGTTGATGAGTTTGGCGGAGTTGGACCGCCAAGAATAGAGGCTATCGCTATCACTATCGCTGGTACGGAGTACGGAGCACAGGGATGTAACGATTACAACCATTTAAATGTGCCTAGTTATTGAATTTAGAAGTTGGTATCGTTGACTAATTGCAAGCTCGTCCATACATTTCCTCGTTACATGAAATTATCCATCCTCAGAATTCCTCAGGATGGGTCTTGGAGGTTCTCGGTAGCTAGAGGGTATTAGTAGAGGTTTTCTGATATATGATAGTCATATATACCTTCAAGATGGAAGAGAACATTAGACTGGTAGTTCTTAAACATCTGCGCCACAAGCTCAACGTTCATGTTCTGGATGTTGACTTCCTGTGATAGAGTCAATAACATGATAATATCAATGAGAGGCTTGAACCTACCTGGAGACCTTTGTTCATGACCATAATGGCTTCATTGAGCTTCTCCTATGTATGAGTTGAGTAGAGTATATCTTGCAGACGTGGTTCAGTCACATACGACGTTGGTGATGATGCGAGAGAGCAGCACCGTCTGCTGATGCTCGTGGGGGCTTTCCTAAGGAGAGATCAGCATCTGGGATCTTTCAGATCGCATCAAAATTGATACAGGGAAGAGAAACCGCGTACCATGACTGAATATTGAGTAATGTGTGTGGGTATTGGACGTTCAGGTGTTTATTTGGACTTAATCGGGATGAGATCACGTGCGGCTATACAGACTTCGCGGGCCGGGGATACTACTTGCATTGCTTCTTACGTTGGACCTGACCTTATCCGTTTGAGATCCTGAATCATATTCCATATCATGCCTCCACCAACTCCTGCCAACGATGAAGCTCACCAGCAGCTGTTGAACACTCTAGACATTTCACATGTCCCCAAGCCCTTCCGCAACCCTCACTGGAAACCGTCCCAGCGGCGCAACAAGAATCTGAAGCAGATTATCTCGGAGGCCTCTCGGAAGGAGGCTTCAGTACTGGCAACTCAGGTCAATTCGGGCGAAACTACGCCTGGTAACTCGGGCGCTCTCACCGATGGCACACAAACCCCCGCAGAAGGGGCAGCACCCAACCTGTCCCAGGCCACCCAAAACCTCTCGACTCTCGTCTTGGAGAAGAATGCCCGGGCGACATTCCCAACCGGTCCTGCTGTCACCTACACGAACATCGAATCCGCACCATCGTTCAACCCTGCCTACCAGCATCACTACTGCGACATCACGGGCCTGGATGGACCTTACACCGACCCCAAGACCCGGCTGCGGTATCACAACAAGGAGATTTATAAGGTGATCCGGACTCTGGCACAGGGTGTTCCAGAAAACTACCTGGAAGCCCGCGGGGCGCACACTATTTTGAAGTAAAAGGCGGCCGTTGCTTACTTTATTCAATTCCCAAACGAACGATCATATAAGAACGGGTATGTCATACAAGAACGAATCTGGATTGTCAGAGCACTACTAATCAATTGAACTAGACAAAAATACGAATCGTCAATAAGCGTTATGTACGACCAACACAGTCAAGCCTTTTCCACCCCACCATGTCCCTTTCGAGACAGGCTCAAGAAAACGCTCCGGCTTATTCGTGATCAATGAGTCGATCTTCGCCTTGTGCAGAAGCACTCGACTATTACCGACACCCCATGGAACAGGGCACCAGTTACAGAATCCGAAGAGACTGTCGTCGCGGCGTGGCATGTACAAAAATACATAGAGAGGAAGGTTCTGCAATAGCGAGTAGCAGTATGTATGAGCTGTGCTCAATATTGTGTGATTCAGTTCGGTATATTTCAATACCAGTAGATTTAGAACTGAAAATTGAGATTGTCACAAATCTATGCAATTGAAACTATCACATCATTAATGACCTTGTTCAATTGCCAATAAATTGGAGAAGACTAAGGGAAAGGAAAACCGGAATGATCAGCCCGCGATATAAGCGCTTTGGAGTCACCGCCTACCATTCCCGGCTTGGCGCTGATTAGGCGGCAGAATTGTGATTTTTGACTTGTTTACGTGCCTCGGGACTTTTGCTACCTTGATCTGTGTCGAGAACATTGCACGTCGTGAGCATACTGCAAACCTAGACTCGCTATTACCCACTTTGAACGACGCCCAAGGTATATCCGCTTTGTCCCTGCTGCATCTGCCTGGTTTCGCCCTACCGAGTCTACAACCATCAAAGATCATTTGTTTCGCACACCAGTGATAGGTGTCGTGTGTCCTACAAAAGTACATCGCCGATATTTGCGCAACCTTCGGTCCCATATATCATCATCAACAGTCGAACCTGAAATAAAAGAAGGATGCCTAGCATGTGGTTAACAGAGAACCAGAGTCAGTCGCATTCGCTCTACAAGCTGTGATGTTCACTACCGTGACAGTACATGTGTAGCAATTGTCGAGCATAGGCTAATTTATATAACAGAGATCGGTGTGATCTTCTGCTCCGCCGGTACGAGATCGACGTTCCCAAATCACTAATTACTCGGACCCGAGAACTAATTCATTTTGCTAATTAGGAGGCTTGTTCCTATTTGGAGGAGTATTGATGTTCTTTGACCGGTCATTGTATGTCTATCCAGACGTTTCACGTTTTCGGGAGAATAAATGCTAATGCCTGTTAACTAGACTCGCCATGGGAAATGTGTGCCACATGCTCTAACAAAACTGTTACATCTAACTGACAATGCTAGGTCCTCTTTCTCATCGGATTGACTCTGATTATTGGCGTCAGGAAAACCACGGTCTTCTTCACGCGCCCGCAAAAACTCAAGGGCACTGCTGCTTTCGCCGCTGGTATCCTCCTTATTCTCTTCCGCTGGCCCTTGACTGGGTTTTTGATAGAACTCTACGGCTTGTTCATCCTGTTTGGCGACTTCCTGGTCACCATCGGTCAATTTGCGGGCAACATCCCTGTGGTAGGGCCGTATATCCAGCGTGGGCTGGAGGTGCTTGCTGGTGGGAGGAGCAATGCCGAGCTTCCTGTATGAGTATATACAAATCACGACTCGACAATGAGGTTCCTTGATGGTATCCCAGACTCCGAGTATGTGGATTTCACGATGTACCCTTACCGGATATCGGATGCACATCACCTTGTTTGTGTGCAAGTACGCTGTGCTATACATGGATGATACGATCCATCTACGGCCTTCCGCTTTATGTATTAATAATGACCCTTATTGATCTTCCAGCGCGGCTGGTAATCAGTTAATATGCATGTTAGAATAGACAAATTACATAATGCCTCATACAATCTGGTTCGTATCCTCATACTGTGCATTGGGAGGTATGTCTAGATTGACGTGACCGATTGAGGCAAAGAGATCCAGTCACAAAGCAAGAAAAGAAGCATAAGCGAAAAAAACACGCTGGGGTCAAAAGAGAAATAGTCGAGTGCTGCTTTATTTCCTATTCTTCACAAACCCCTCAACTCATCACATCATTTAGTTATCCTTGAATATTTTCCAATTTACCGGGGGTTGTTGAGGTAATCAACGAGGTTCTCGACAACGGTCGCCGCGTTGGTAGTCTGGACATTCTCGCCGTGGTGGCCGATGATGGTGCAAGAGGAGGCGCGGGCAATAATGACACCCTCCTTACCCTGTAACACAAATCAAATAGATTAGACCAGATTCCAGTGGTATGCGTTGATAGAATTCCCGAGGTATTTATGAGTCGAAGGGATATGCTTACCTTCTTGCCATATAGACTGCGCTCGTCAGCCCGGATGGTGACGAACTTCTCACCGCAGACAGAGAAGCCAGAGGAAAAGGCCTTCTCGCTAGAAGTGTAAGCGGTGATCAGGGAGTTGATCTCCTCCTGAGAGAGCTGTATTTCGACAACCAATAACGTTAGCGAATGTGTCGAAGCCTGTGACCCCACCCCGCACGAGGGAAAACAATAGGCGAGCTTACCGCGAAGCCGGGCGAGGCAGCCTCAACACCGGAGAAGTCAGCGGCGAGAATACCGGCCTTGTCGAATTGAAACGAGCCCATCAGGCTGTGAGAAAAGAAGCTTGTCAGTATATGTACAGGATAACACGGGTGAGATGATTCGGTTTCGATGGTAGCATTGAGGAATATATCTGGGGTTGACGAGGGACAGTGGTTTACCTGGTGTCGACATAGCCTGGTTCGAGGGAAATCTCATGTTAGCGAACTCGAAGAAGCAAGGGCCGACCTGTCAGTCTGCAGTCTGCAGTCTGCAGTGCAAGGTGATTCATACTTTGCCAGATTGCTGAGTGCTCGCCCATGATGACTGTAAAGAAGCTGAGAGAATAACGCTGGAGTTGATTGAGTTAGACAGTCAAGAAGAGAAGAAAGCAGAAATTTCAGGGCGCACCTTTTGAATATACAGAAAAAAAGGAGAGCTGGGAGAATAAGGGGAGTTGGTGGGGGGAGAAGAAGTTGTGGCGGTCGGGAGAGGACCCCGCCATATGACGATCCCACCGTTTGCAACTGACTTGGGATACAAGCTTATTTTTGTTTATGTATGTCTATTGATGCGTCGATTCGGAATATCTTATTCAATCTGTCTATGCTAGGGACATTGTAATAATTGTGTAGGGTGTGTAGGGTGTGTAGGGTGTGGAGTTGTGTATAAGATATCGGATATTCTCCAAGTAGCGGTGGGAGATCTTTAAATATACAGAGTAGCTTAACATCAACAACTTTTCTGTTGATTCTAGGCAGTCATGTCGAGTACAGCATTGAATATGTATGACATACATATAACATGCCGCGGTACCAGTCCAGTCCAGTTAGCCCAGTCACTTCATGTACCGTCGATCATCACGGGAGATCACGGGACTCGATCATCATGCTGCCTTGCGTGCCTGAGTGCCTGTATGCCTGCATGCCTTGGTGCCTTACTGCTTTGCTGCCTTACAGTGCCTAAACCCCAAAACTTCAAGGGGGTGATCTGACCGCTACTTACCAATAGCAGATTCATCTTTCGTCTCAGATGGTCTTATCTTCGTCTCAGGCAGCCTTGTCTCTTACTCCGTACACCATACGGAGTACTTAGACCTTGAGATATGCCCATTGGAAATAGAGACAGGCTTGGCATCACATTGCATTGGCGACTCACAATGCGAAGCTGGAGAATTCACGAGTCACGACATTCATGACCCTGCACTGTACTGAGTATGTGGGCATCCAATGCTATTGCTCCAGAGCCAAAACCCCCCTGATTCAAGGGTAAAACGGAAAATAATACGCCATTGTCTCAGTTTTGACCAGGTGAAACACGCCTCCGGCCTGGTAGCGAGCTAATCCGTCGACCAATGCGCTCATTCGTCCGGCGGGAAATAAGCATCTCACACGGGCGTGAATATTAACGCCGAGAGGCCCCTCAAATTCCAAAACAGAATGAGGTTGCGAGTTTTGGCCTCGTTTCTCATGTTTCGTTGGTTTAGTCCCAGACTAGACCGGTTGGTTAACTCTAGCTCTCGTTTATATGGTTATTTGATTTCTCCACTCAATCTGTTCCTCTGGTTTCATTAATATACTGGCCTATACCCTGATGTCTTGCTATTTGTTTCGTTTCCTTCATTTTGTTGGCCTTCTGGAAGGCTCGTCTCTTCTTTTACTATCTGCTCTCCTTTAATACCATCATTTTCCATCATTTTCTCCTTTTAACACTCATTCCTATTATCGGCTGGATTCCAATATACAATTACAGAGATGGCAAGGGGCATGACAACAGTCCGGTCACGCACCCAACCTAAGGAGACCATCTCTTTTCCTGTTTTGACCTATACCGATGCCTTACCACGGGACGACCTTTTCTCTCTTGAGGCCTCACAGCGTCCAGCTCAACCCATGATTGGCCAGTGGGATTTCAGCCAGCCCTCTGCGGGAGACGGGTGGCTAAAAAAGCCACCATCGGGCCAAGGTGCAACTTTCGACTTTCGCATAACCGCACCACCAGATGAAGCCATTCAGACTGACCATGCCCAAACCGAGCAACACATGATTGGCATTGCGCTGGGCAGTCCCGGCATGTTAACCAAAGATGAGCCGCTACCACCACCCAGATTTGATACATTCATTATCGCAGAAAGAGACTCAGTCCATAAGCCCAGCAAGTGGAAGAAGATCGGCGGATTGTTCAAGGCAAAGAATGCGCCTATATCGATCCCGGATGGCGCACAAGAAAGCGTGGTCAAGCCACACAGCAACAACTATAAGCAACCAGAGAAACCACCGAAAGCAAGACTGAGAAAGAACTCGACGGAGGAGTGGCCGAAGTTTGAGGTCGAACCCAGAAAGATGCCTGGTCGAAGCGATCAAACCCCCCAGCGGAGTCGCAATTTTTCACTCGGCAACAAGCCAACCAAAGATGAATCAAGTACCCATGGTCTCTTACTAAGTGTCGAAATCCCGGATATTCAGATGGAGCGGTACAGTGTCATGTTCAGCGATGTCGTCAACAAGAACCAAAAACCCTCACTGCTGGCCAGAAGGGCCAAGACATTGGACAATCTTCTCGTACCAGACGCAAATGTATGGACTTTCATCGATTAGAAACCGGTATGAGACTAATAGATGCATTGATATAGGACTTCCTCAAGCCAGCACCACCCCCAGTGCCCCAACGCCGCCGGGCAACATCACCAGCGCGGTCAGACTTTACTTTATTTCCAACTTCACACCCTTCGAAAGCGGCTCAGATACTCGGCACTCAGAATTTCTCTCGTGGACCAAACCCATTGATAAGAGCAAAGACACTCCCTGTCGAAAGCCCATCAAGGATGCCCGCGCCACAGCTTCGTTATGGTTCAAATATGGATAGCGTCTCATCGTTCGAGTCACCTGTCATTCCGAAGCTTTTCTCCGAGCGTTCCAATACTCCGCAGTCCTCTAGTAGCTACGACAAACCTCTTCCTGCTATCAAGCCGGAACCACAGACAACAATTCAATCACAGAAGATTTCTCAACCGGACAAGAACACCCTATCCTCGCAGAAGACCCGACCACAACAGAGTGTGCAACCACACAATATTGTTGTAACAAAGCCGGTCGCTCAGCCCTGGGTTCATCCACAGCCGAGGAAAAATTCCCTGCCACGAGCCATAGAAAAACAGTCTCAGGTTACTTCACCGCAACACCAGCCAAATATGACGTCGAGCCAACAAAGAACCAACGACTCAGTGCGACCATGTCTCAGAGTTCAAACAGAAGACCGACCGCAACCACCCGCGAAAGACACACTATCTAGCAGTCCGTCCCGAAGCTCTCCTTCAGCATTAAACCCTACCCAGGACAAGATTGACCGAATCATGTCTCCATTATCAGCATCAACCGGTCCTAAATCTGGCGCATCGCCAGCAGATTCCATGCGCATGCCATTCGTCGATGCCGTTGAGACACCTGCTACCGCTGAACAGGCGCCTGCACCCGAGCCCCGACGTCCTATCCCAAGGGTTGAGGTCTCTATAGCACGCACTGTCTCTGTCTCACGGGCAAAGCAGCAGGTTCTGGTTCCCATCGGCATGAGGATCGATCATTTAACCCCGGAGGAGCGGGTTGTGCAGAGAAGACCTCTGACACCGCAGATTACAGATGCTCACCGGGGACATCGGGCTGGTGTCTCGCAGGAGTTGCAGATAGAGTGTCTGTGACATTCTTCCCCCCCTCTTTCTTTACTTTTTTTTCTTCTATAAGTGATTCCCCTTTGCCGCCTCTCATACGTTGTCTACATGTACCTATCGTTCTCTATTCTCCAAATATGGTCTTGATACTTCCTACAACATCTCAATCCATTCCTTGAAAGGCTCATGTTATTCATTGTCGGTGTTTTACATTTAGTCCAGTACCTTTCGCAAATGCATCGACTTGTCGTATGGTAATAAATAGTTTGAGCATCTGGTTTTAGTCCTTCGTTGGAACGCTGGCCTCCGCCACAGTCTGCGTATCGATGCCAGTATCCAAATTAACTTCGATATTGGAAAGAGTCCATGCCATCCCAACGTACGAGTCACTGATGACTCTGATATTCACCCGAGCTGTGCTCGTACTCGTGGAATCCGCGAGGATGCCTTCGGGGAATTTAATATTTGAGCGAACGGTCAACACGTCAACCTTGTTATCTTTGGCAGCTCCTGCGCGACTGGAACTAGCACCATGGTTGCCCTTGTCCTTGCCGTTTCCATTGCGCTTAGACACTGGTGGCCAAGAAACACGCTTCAGGCCAAGTAATTCACCATCCATCCCATTGGGAAGAGCACTGCAGACAATCAAGAAGAAGCCCTCAGTTTGTGGTTTGGGGAATCGAGGAGCGTAGACCTTGCATTCTGGGGTTGTGGGCTGGTTACGCCGTGTCAAAGACACAGCCACGCCCTTAGCAGAAACATTTGCAATGGCGACCGACAGATGAGGCAGCTGGGACGTAATGCGAGTGAAGTTAAATGGAAGATTTAATTTCTTCACCAGAGCGGCGACTGCACCAACAGGCTGTGACGAGAGCGATACAAGAGTTCCCGGGAGACCACTAGGTGGCTTCTCGGTCGGAATGCCTGGCAGAATCGACAATGGGTGGTCTTCAGGCCAGCGCGCCGACTTGATGCATTGTAGGAGGGTCATGAGCATCTGACACGCAGGAAGATACCCGAGCTCAGCCATGACATCGATTGAGGCCTGGATGACACGAATACCTTGATCGAGCACAGATGTCTGATCGCCAACATAATCAGTGATGGGAAGATCGATCCGTGACATGTAGGCCTGCAGGAGGAGGAAGGCCTTGGTGTGTGGGTCCCATAGGGGCGCGTCGCCCATGCAGTCAATAGAAAGCGGCAAGTTCTCGGCCAACTCAGCGTTGATCAGATCTTCATTGTGTCTGACAGGCAGCTCGTCGAATTCGGTGGCAGAGCACATCCAGCTCAAGACATCCTGGAAAGTCGGATCACGCTTGGCATGGGACACGAGGTACCGGATCGTCTTATGTGACAGGTAGTAGTAACTCATGATCTTGCCGAAGGGAGTGGAATCGACCTCTCCGGTGACCGAGTCCACGAGAACACAGGACGATTCTGCGAGATCATTGAGCGACTTTGCGACCAATTCAACCATGAAATCTTGAGCTGTGGCCTGAGCTGCCATGGTGTTTTGTTCCTCTGCAGAGATCTCGAGACCGTAATATGACGGGTTCTTGTGCAATCGACGGAAGAAGAATGTCCAGGTCAAGTAGTCCAGTGCATCTTGTTGCGTTCCAATAGTTCCAGCAGATACCTCAGCGCCAAGATGGTTATCGAGGACCTTGTGAAGTGTCGACTCAACGGGGAAACCGGTGTGGAGGAAGTGCTTGTAGAAAGCCTTCTTTGAGTCCTGCGTGAAGATGCGTGCAATACCGGATGTGTCAAACTGCGGCCGACCGGCACGACCGAGCATTTGCAGAACGTCGGTCAAGTCCATATCCCGATAACCTTCGATTTTAGCGTCGAAGAACTGTGTGCCTTTGACCACCACAAGATGCGCTGGAAGGTTAACACCCCATGCAAGAGTACTGGTCGCGACCAGAACTTGGATCTTGTTGTTGGCAAAGAGTTCTTCTGCCAGCTGACGATCAGATTCAACTAAACCAGCATGATGCAGACCAATACCAAAGTTGAGGGCTTCTTTTAGAGCATCATCTTTCACTCGCGCGAGATTCAACTCCAGATCATCTTCAGACATTCGTACGAATCGACGAGGATTGTCCTCCATACCACAGTAGTTAATCAAATCCTTAGCAGTCAAACGAGTTTGTCGTCGAGAAGCAACGAAGACAATGACTGGCTTATCTGGAGAATGGTTCTTGATCGCGAGGAAGGTTGGGCGATTCATTGACTGCATCAAGGGACAGAAACCACGCTGTTCAGGGAACCCATCGATGAAAATCTCGAGGGGGACTGGGCGAACTGAATGGCGGAAGTTATACAGTCCTTCTTTGACACCAAGCCAGTTGGCTAGATCCGAAGCATTGGCACAGGCGGTGGACATGCCCATCAGTCGAACGGATCCTTTGGATTGAGAAGCGATATAGTTCATTCGGGAAACAATGATTTCCAAAATGGGACCACGATCACCACCGAGCAAGTGAATCTCATCAATAATCACGAGGCTGACTTTCCTGACGTAGTCACGGGTCTGCCAACTACGTGATATACCGTCCCATTTCTCAGGCGTGGTGACAATAATATCCGCATCTCGAATGGTACGTGTATCAGGCGTATTGTCACCGGTCAACTCAACAAGCTTCAAGCCCATCTGCCTAGTGAGACGCTTACGCCAATCTTGAACTCGTTCACGGACCAAGGCCTTCATGGGTGCAATGTAGACAACCTTGGAGCCAGGCTTCTCACGGAAAGCCCACCACATTGCGAGCTCGGCTGCAATAGTCTTTCCACTGCCAGTTGGG